CCTATAGCGAAAATCTAGTTGGTAGTTCCTTGGTGTTATTGCCTCTTGCCGTCTTACTGAAAAATGCGCATAAATTCTGCTGGTACGATTGCGACGAGATTTTGCCACGATAAAAATGCCACTAATAACTTGAGTAAGATTGAACAGATGTTGCCATATGAGCACTACTATTATTTTGATCGCAGCTGTATGTTAGCTCCAGTAAACAATAACAAAACTAATTTGGTTAAAGCGGGTCTTAAATATTAAAAAAAAAATTTTACTAGATGGAGAAAATATTCCTACATACGTGAAGTAAGGAAGTATTGACTCGGTCAGAATCGTTCATTGGTTACTCTTACTTTCTTATATATGGTACATATGTGCATTCGAGAGTGTCGATTTATTTCCTATAAACGAGTGCAACTGGTTACGAGGTAGCGAGGCAAATGAACAATAGAATATCAACTCCTACTTATCCAGAATAGACCCCGACAAAGTATGTCCTGCATGCAACGAGTTTCCGCATGAGAGGTGGTCACTTCTTTGCATGCCCTACCAACCCCACCCATCTAACACCCTTTTCCCTTTGGTCCGACCCCGTCGAAACAGCACGTTTCCTGGGCCTCCCCTTAGATGACGTCGACGACAACACTGATAACCCTCACCATCCTAACGGGGACTGATAACCGTTAAAACATCAGCAACAACAATAGAATAATCAAAATCCATGTACATATTAAATTTTATTCGGATCTCAAAACCTGACGAAGCATTTTTTTTATCCCTAAAAAACTTTGGCTTAAAAATCGTTCGCTCGAAAACGGTTTTCACCCTTAGTTTCTAGGCAAAGTTGTTCAGATTGATACGTAGAGCATTTTCTGTTTTTTTTTGATTACCTGTCAACACRGTCGCGCTGGTGGGGCCGTAGTGTTGGAACCACATATTGTCCAAGTCCATATCATCCCATTCGGGCCAAAAATATTCGGTTATGATTGAGCGGTAGCGATTCCCATTCACAGTAACGAGCCGGTCTTGATCATCACAGAAGAAGTACGGCCCAATGACGTCGCCGGCCCATAAACTGCACCAACCGTAACTTTTTTCGGGATGCAATGGTGAGTAATGAAGTA